GTTGGTATTTGACTGTTGTACAGTATTTCAGTGTTGTTGGTATTTGAGTGTTGTTGGTATTTGAGTGTTGTTGGTATTTGACTGTTGTACAGTATTTCAGTGTTGTTGGTATTTGAGTGTTGTTGGTATTTGACTGTTGTTGGTATTTGACTGTTGTACAGTATTTCAGTGTTGTTGGTATTTGAGTGTCGTTGTACAGTATTTGAGTGTTGTTGGGTATTTCACTGTTGTTGGGTATTTCAGTGTTGTTGTATTCTGATGACGTCACTTCCGTAGACCTGTCTCTCAGCTGAATGTGATGAAGACTGAAGCCCGGCCTCGGTCTGGACCGGCGGGTCCGCTGATTGTTCCGTTGTTCTGGTTCTGAAAGTCGTAGACTTTAAACGGGATGTTTGTGACATGGTGGGTGTGATGTGCTGCTTCATGTTGTTTTTGTTAGAAATGTTTAAAAACAGGWTTTATTGTTTGGACTCCTGCTCTGTGGGCCAGATGTTGGAAGCAGAATGATTTGGATCAGAGCGTGGAGCGGTGAGCACACACCGAGTGTTTATGCTTTCATTCAAGCCTTAGTGTCAGATATGTTTTATAAACTGTCTGACATGTAGTTTTACTGCTGCACACAGGGACACTGCAGGACAAAATGTGAGCAGAGAAGCTGAATTAGTTCCACATTTTTAGTTTCTGATCTGCAGCTTGTAGTTGAAGTGAATAAAAACTCAGACTTACAGAGAAGTTAAATGAATTGTTGGTCATTTTTGGAGGTTCCAACATGTCTACAGACCTTTAGCTTTAGACAAATACATCCTTYTTTTACACTCGGAGCTAAAATGTTGATGAACGTGGCTTTAGCTGCTGACAGCTTCACATGACTGAGTTCACTCACGCTTTAATGGTTCAAATATTTTCTCGTTTCTCCTCGAAGCCTTGCTCTTGGCCTTGTGTTTGGATGTCTGCAGCAGGTCTTCGTCGAGGACACCTGATCCTTAACACAGGGCTGTCCAGACATTTAGTCACATGACCCAAAACCATAAAGTCRGAAGGACCTGAGGGCCAAAAATATCTGTCCTTTACCTGCTCAACAATAAACTAAACATTGAATACTTTAAACAAATAAAGTAGTCAGATYTATTGCTGGAAATGGATGTATAAATTAATCTAGATCCAGAACTTTCAAAGTGTTTTGCAGGTTTCCCTGATTGAAAGAAATTTTCTAGGTTTCAGTTTGGGMAAAAATAACCCAATTGAGTCAATTCTGATCAATAAAATCAGGATTTAGGTCACTGTTAGGTTGAAAATATTTGTTGTGTTCAGATTAATTTAAAAGCAGATTGGAGTGCAGCAAAATCAGCTTTTGTGTAGAAGTCACCAGATAAATGTGGAAAAAGAGTCTGGTTATTTAAAGACAAATAATTGGTATTGTTGACAATATTTTTCATTATAATATTTAACTTTGATAAATTTACCCTAATAACAAATAGAAAGTCTCCATCTACATCAAACAGCTGTGCAGGGGGACAAATGTGTAAACAAATTAGTATAATTCTTAAACTGAAGTCAGGGGCCACACAAAATCAGTTCAGGGGCCACACAAAATCAGTTCAGGGGCCACACTTCGGACATCCCTGCCTTAACGCAACACGTGGCTCTGCAGCACAACAGCCGAAGCTTCTTTATCCTGAACGTCGTGGTAAAACGTGGGAAAATACGGATGAAAAACCCAAAGACATCAGATGGTATTTACATGAAAACAAGTCATTTTCCTGGTAGTGGAAATAATAAGTCCCTGGATGGAAGGAAGGCGTCTTTCAGACCCAGATTGTTTGGTAAAGAAAGGCTTTAGTGTGGGTTTTGACTCTGTTATGAATTACACAACATTATGTGTTCAGATGTGTGAAAATAACAAACAGCTGTTTAAAGAAGGACAGTTTTTATTGAAAGTATTCAGTCAGACTTCTCTTTGGTTCAAACTAACTTTGTGTTCATTCYGTTTGACTTYCTTTTGTTTAAATTCCTTTAAAAAAACGGGAGTGTTTTTCACTTTTAAACGTTGTTTTTTTACCGCAGCGGTTCAGATTAGCCACGCGTTACAGGAAGGGAGATGAACTGTGTGGGTGTGACGGTCCGGAGCAGCTGACTCCTCCATGTTCACTGCATTTTTCAGCTCTGACGCGCTCGGCAGCTGCAGCCCCCCGAAACAAAGACGGACCCCGACTTTCCGAGCAGATCCACACGTTTCACGGACTAATGAGCACGCAGTTCACTTCTGTCGTCTTTGTTTCACCCCCCCAGTTCTCCAAACACCCCCCTCCTCTCCCCCAGCTCTCTAACCATGATAATTTCATCGAGTCCAGCTTCAACTTGGACGAGACAGAAGAGACGGTTCAAGGAGGCAGAGAATTCTTCGTTTTAAGTCTCTGATTATTACAAACTAACAAAAGAAAAAACATTAAGTTGGAGCTAAAGTTGTTGAAAAAATATATATATATATATATATATATTTTGATTGTTTAAATTCACTCGTTAAATTTCACTCCAAACCCACAAATTAGAACCAAACTGCATCAATCATTTCCTTAACTGAAGCAGATGCTGGTTATTCCACTTTGAAAGTTTAGTTTAGTTTAGTTTAGTTTAGTTCAAACATGTATTCAAAACAAAAAAAATGATAAAAAGTGATAACAAAAATAACATTTGAAAAGGAATGGGAAGAAGTCAAAAACTTATTTAATCCCACCCTTCTCCGAAGCTTAACAAAAAAGTAATAGTGAATTCTTCTTTTTCCTTATTCTAAGTTACAATTTCATAAAGATTAAAACAACAATCTGTTTACCTAGAATTTTATATAATACCAGAATAYATTCATAARCGTAAATGTACATCTACATGCAGTGTATATACATACACAYATGTACGCACATATATACACAGCCCCAAACATCTCAATATATTGTAAAAAATAATAATAATAATAACAGTACTCAGACATAGCATTCCTATATCTTTTGTAAATAACATTTTTATACATCTCCTTAAATTTTTTTATGTTTGGACATTCCTTAAGTTCATACGCAGACTGTTACACAGTTTTACTCCACCAACAGAAATACAAAACCCTTTATGAGTTGTAAAGGGTTTTCTATTTCTGTTTGCTTGCTAAAAGTTTATTTGAAATAATATAATTTACAGTGTCATTTGGTTTTGGACTTGTTTTATTTATGTTATGATCTTATCCATTTTTAACTAGTCTTATCTCCTGGCATGTTATCGGTTATTATCGGTTATCGGTTCTTAAAATAAGTTATCGTGCATCCCTGTCAATTTTCAGAAGTACGGTAGCTATTTTTATTAAGGGATAGATCWGATTTTGCTCTTGATACAGTTTTTTAAAATTAGAATCTTTTAGGGAAWATAGTGGCGATAT